CTCACAGTGATCAAAACTTGACCTTTGGGAATTTATATATTGGACGTAAAAGTCTGTAGCTAAATGGAACACCAAACTTAAGTCTTCTACTTTTATAAACCATGCCAAATATGACTTTTGTCATTTCATCATACAAATTGTGTACTTTTAAAAATCAGTAACTATATCTTAGATTAACACATCAACATGAATTTCTCAAGACTTGTGGTTTGCTAAACATTATGGTAGGAGCTTAGAGAAGGAGATTAAGACCTACCACTGGCCTCAAAAACTCTGCAGTCTAGCTATGGAGAATGAAGACTAACACGCTTCAGATCAGAGTACAATGACCTCTCAGTATGTACTTCTGTGCTGTGCTGGGTGACACAGATGGTCAGCACTCTTTTTCAGAGAAATTAGAGAGATTAGGAGCTGGGGAATCTGAACTGGGGTATCAGATTAGGAGCTGAGGTATCAGGAATTATTTCTGATAGAACAGTGTGATTTTCAAGAGCCAGGCTCTGATGTCTAACAGGCCTGGGGTTGAATCCATGCTCAGCCACTAGTCAGCGGTGGAAACTTTGGGAAAGTTAGCTGACCTCGCTGAGTGTCAGTTTCGTCATCTGTCAGAGGGTAATAGAAAGAATACCTTAAAAGGCTTTCTATGAAGGTTGAATAAATTCTTGTTCCACTTTCAATAAATGAGAGTTATCTCCTTCATTACCGCACCATCACAATCCCCTTCGGTACCAGGCTTCAGAGGATGGAGAGAGGCATTGTCAATGGGCACAGACTGAAGCCAGCATTCCCCCCCCCCAAAAAAAGGGGAAGGTAAAAGGAGCAAAGGTATGGAGATAGAAAGGAGCCAAATGTTTTACTTCTAGGCTGGGGAGGACAGGCATAGAGAGCAGTTCTTCAAACACATAGGGAGAGATGATTGGATAAAGATGGTAGGACAAAATGATGGTGACGATCTTTTGTGACTCTCATCAAACCTTGTAGGTCAGTGCTGGGAAGATAATGTGCCCTGAAAATTGCTGGAGAATAAGATCCACATATGATGACAGGGCAACAAAAAGCTCAAACAATATTTGCTAATTGATTGGGTTGCAAAGTAGAAAGTAAAGCTGAATCTTCCCTTTATATTTGTAGTCCATTCAGCATTTTTATTACAAAGCTTCTAAAATATAAGTAAAACTCATGCCAGCTACATTTGAACTGTTTCTTGGAACCCCATTCCTCCTTCAGTCTCCCTGACATTTCTGTAGACTCTAAATAGAGTAAGAATAATGTATCCACATTTTTCTCCATAGACCCCTACTCACACAACCATCAACCTATGGTCATAGCAAGACAGATGAAGCCAGGTTTTGATTGTGAGATGAAATCAATCAGTGAAAAGTAGTTGTTGTTTTTAAGGAGTAAAGCTTTTTTTTTTTTTTTTTTTTTTAATCTTTAAGAGAAGAAATCCAAGGCCATGAACAGAAAAATTGTCTGACTCAGGATGTAGATTGGAGAACAAGCATTACCTCTACAAGGAGACTCTGGGGCTTTTCAATATTTAGGATACTAGTATATGTCTTTTTAATTCCCAAAAGGGTTTTTTTTTTTAAAAAAAAAAAAACCTAAGGATAGAATTAATTATCTTGGAATTGTCTAATATCCACTCTTACGTTTGAAACTGCAAGCAGGGAGACGTTTTAAACATTATGAAAAGAAGAGAAAATCTCCCCTGACAAATAAATTCCTTGAAACATTAGATATTAGTACTAGTCAAGTGCTTGTTCTTTTCAGAAATATTAAAATTGCATATTAAAATGAAAGGATTCTTAGACTGTGCTCCTGCCTAATGCCACAAAAAATAAGAATTTAAGAACAATTTGAGAGACAAAAGATTATATGAAACATCCAGCACTTCCCCTTATGGGAAATTTCTTTTTTTAACATCCAAGACTCAATCATTTCCTAATGTGAAATTACAGATTTTTCAAATTACCATATAAAACTGCAAAAAAATTACACTTGTGACCACAGAAGAGATGGCATACACTATCAATTTGATTTTAAAAGGCATACATCTTTTATACTACCTGTCATTTTTATAATGCCTTTTACAAATTTAATCAATACATTTTAACATTCTATATACTTTAAGTGCAATATACAATAAATATTCAAGTTTCATCTTAAACATGCTTTAGCCTTTAAATTGTTAAAACTACAGTGCCCTTTCAATCTACTTACATAATGTCATAAAATATACATTTCAAGGTAAATGAAGTCAGCTACTTCAATTTAGTCCCTCAAACTGGTAGTAAATGAGAGGTTAACACTATGGTGCCAAACCCATTATTGAGTAAATTTAGCACCTTGGACAGCTCTGTAAAATCTTTATTGCTTTCCTGACCTGCTCGTCATGTTCTGTCTGTGTGTTCAGTGGCTCTCAGCTCTGATTGAAAGGCAATATATTAGATCCCCAACACAAACACGCTTGGGGGCTAGTTCACTGGGAGCGTAATGACATGGAGGTGAGAGCAATTTTCTGGTCACCGAAATCCAAGCACCTTGCAGGTCCATTGTACTAACTCATAGAGGACCCAGAAATTTTCTTTCTCCTTCCCATTTGCAGAAATAACTAATAGAAGCCAAATCACATGGGCAAAGCTGAACCAAGTCTTTCTTAAATCCTTACAAGTTGATACTACAGTGAAGGATATTTTTTGATGGGCTAGATATTATTTAAGGGTGTCCCTCACAGGGCAAGAAATCCAGGTTCACACTCCTCAAATCCAAGACTGCTGGCCTGAAATGATGCTGTGCTGATGACCTACCTATGGCAATGTACTCAATGGGAAAACATGCCCCAGCATGGTGGATCAAAGAAGACAGCATCATGGATCAAAGAAGGATGCTCCTTTAGGAAACAAGATCCACGTGTTTTATTTTCAAAGGATTAAATGGGGATGAGAGCTCTGGATAGCGATATAAGGAGAAAAAAAAAGTAGATTATGTCATTGAAAAACTCTTAACACCAAGGATATACAATATATACTGATAGATGGTATTTTTTCAGGCTTATGAAAACTTCAAAGATCTTGGAGTTTAATTTCGAACATCCCTCCTCCCTGCTTCTGTGAAATTAATTAAAATAAGGTACACTGTTCTAAGTCCCCAATTATAGTGTTACAAGAGTGAAGTTCATAAGTGTAGTTTCTTTCTGTGCCTCATCATGCTTTTGACAAACAGGAGACTTGCTTTTTTCCCCCTAAAATGCAAAGAAAGGAAAATACCTTCCCTGCCAAGCCCTAACACTGACGTAAACATTTATTTGGAGAAATAAATGAGCATAGGCCTAGCGAAGTCAAATCTTAGTAAATAAACTCACTTGATCCTGTTTTGTTTTAAAGCCATGAGGTTTTAGTGAAGGCAATACAGGCTGAATTTGATCTGGGGATAGGGTTTAGTGTGCCCGTACCATAGTAAATTATTAACTGCTCTGGTCAGACAATACAGTGAACAAAAAGTGGTAAATTAGCTTGTAGCTTACATTAAAAAATAAAGAAATGATTTCAGATGTATTGTTTCAAACCCCTTTGATTATATAATATTTTTTACTCCCTACTTTAAAAATAACAACTGTTTTATAAAGGGGGTCTATCAGCTTAAGGCAAGCATAAATGTTTATTGAGAACTGAAAACCCCTCTATCTTATTTTTGAATTTAGGACATTAGATATGTCATAAGTAGTTACTGTAGTATGACAACTACTTTATCTTATATTATAGAGAATTTAAAATTGAAAAATGCTAATATGTATCTAAAAGCTTGTCATTTCAAGAGTTGTTCAAGGATTTTTGAAGAGGCTATGGTGACAGCAAAATGAATGCGATTATCTCCCTATTTTCTGATCAGCGACTGCAGTCTATGAAAATTGAACAGCACTGCTTCTCCATGTAGAAATCTATTGTGTAAAACATTTAAAGTTATACTTCTGTTTGAAACTTTACCCACAGCCAAAAATGGTAACCATATCTTCCTGTAAATCACCTCTGATGATCATACCTCACCCTTAGGTTTGGTTGTCTGACAAGCGCCTATCTTTTGCATAGATCAAGCTTAACTTTGTTTTCCTTTTCACATTCTAGTGAAAATGAATTTGAAGAAATTTAGTTAGAACCAAAAATATCAGCACCATACTCACTTTTGTAGAGTACTCCCTATTATTAGAACCAAGCATGCAGGCTAAATATGGAAGTCCACCTAAGTAAAAAGAGGGAGATATTTTTTCTTCAACTGGAATGAGCAGCCAAATATATATCTAGGATGAGAATGAATGAGCAAATGGGGGAAATCACAAACAATACTGAAATAGCAAATAATTGCTGTAAAAGAAATAGATACTGCCAGTAATGAAAATTGGTGCAGAGGGGGCTTCTGAGGACAGTAGAGTCCTTCCATAAGAGTTTTTGACAAACAGTGCATTGCCTCAGTATGTGGGTTTCCTACATCACCCGCTTATATTATGGCTTTGCCATCCAAGAGAGATAAACAAAAGAAGTTTAATACTACATGCTTCTAGTAGCTGAAGATTGATTGGAAATCCCTCGAAAATGACCTGTCTGATAAGGTCATGGTTCCTGGAATAAGCAATTAAGTGCAAAATAAACACATCTTAGGGATTCGTACCACGCACTGAATGACATCGATTGTAGTAATCTAGTAAATGACCTAGGAATTGTATTCAGCAATAAACATATGAGTGCTTTATCATGCCTATGGCAGACTATTGAGTGATGTATTTTATCTTGCAGTACCAATGATGCTCACCTTTTGACTCAATTAAGTGTGTATGTGAACAGGGACAAATTGGTGATTTAACGCCATTCTGGGGTTCCCCAAGCTATGGCCTTTATAGCAGTGCCTTGGCAAAGTATGGCCAGAGGGACTGGAAAGTGATCATGTCTAAAGATAACGACAACCTGCCTTCGCTCAAAGGATTGTATCTGCTTTTCTCTTGACAGGAAGTAATACTTAAAAGGGCTGCGGATCTGGTAGAAGCTCTGTATGGGATGCCACACAACAACCAGGTGAGCGCTGTGGGTTTCTAGCCTGTGTGGACTGCCACATGCAATTAAAGATCTCAGATTCCATATCGTAATGAGAAAGCACAGAAAATATTAAAGCCATGTGCATGAGTTAAGAGTATAAGTAATTCAGATATAACATGTTGCAAGACTCTTCAATCCTCTCTTTTGTAAACCTTTTATTGCCCTTTCCACTGAATCATTGTCTGTATGAGAAAAGGTGGTTCATTTAAAACTAATCTTTAGTGGAAACGTACTTCCTAATTGAAGAGGAGAGTTACTGGTGCTTTATTTTATTTCTCTCAGGTTTTCAAGCAAATTTAGGAAGAGAAAGAGGGTTTAATTTTTTCTCCAAAAAGTATAACAAGGCCTGAATAGTACTGCCTGCTTCTATTTCATAGAACTCCATGTATAAGATTCACATAGCTTAGGAAACTGAGTCCGACAAACCATTCACTCCTTTTTCATGTAACCTGAGTCAATGTCTGGGGGACACAGTCCCATTAATACTCAGGAATGCAGGTAGTCATCTACAACCTTCCCTTAACATCAACAGGGGAGATGAATTGCAGCCTCTCTCCGTCTCCGCCTGGGTAACCTCAGACTTCCTACACGTTATTGGGAAGGATAGAAAACCTCATGGTACTGACCTGTATGGACTGTAGGGTAGTATGAAGGCATGTTAAGATAATGGACTTTCAAAATCAGACAAATGGGCTTATGAATCTCAGCTCTGTTCTTAAATAGGTGAGTGTCCTTAGGTGAGGTTTTTGACTTTCCAAGCCTCAGTTTCCCCATGGCATGATGATGGTGAGACTAATATAACAGGTTTGTCAGGAGGGTCGCAGAAGTTAATGCAGCCGACCATTGAAAACCCTGAGTACAGTGCCTGGCACTGGAAAAAAATGGTATTGTTGGGAATATGACTGGGGACAGCTAAAGGGGATATTCCTTTGACTTTTCAGGAAATCATTCTGAAGAGAGCGGCCGACATTGCCGAGGCCCTGTACAGTGTTCCCCGCAACCACAACCAACTCCCGGCCCTTGCTAACACCTCGGTCCACGCAGGGATGATGGGTGTGAATTCGTTCAGTGGACAACTGGCTGTGAATGTCTCTGAGGCATCACAAGCCACCAATCAGGGTCAGAAGCTTGCTTTTCTCTTCGCTCACACGTTTTCCCTCTCCCTCCCCAACCTTAAGCAGCCCATCTCCTCATTTATTGGTCATGAACAATTTTTACATTAAAGAATTATTTTCATCCCAAAAGGGAGATTCTTAGTTTGTGTGTATAAGATATTATTGTACAATGTTGGTCCTAGCTATCATTCTGGTAATCTAATATAGGGGGCTAGAAAGGATGCATGCATTTAGCCATCTCTCTACATTTAACTTTTCATCATAAACCATGAATGACAGATCGCAAAGAGGGATGGAATTAAAGTTTTGAGGGCCCAAAGCACATCATTCTTGCCCAAGGAATAGGAACCTGTTAACTCCAGGGTACATCTCTTAGATCGGGATTTATTTCTGCTCTAAAATGATAATTTATAGGCCCAGCATTGCCACTTCTCATGGCCCTGCTAAGTATTTATGATCTCCTAAGAAATGTGTCTTTTGCTCGCTTCCCATTTTAATCACAGAGCTAGCACCACCAACCCACGCACATGAATCACCCAGTCCCTTCCCTCTGGGTTGCGGCGATGGGGCCAGAAACAGAGACCTTCTTTCCCCGAGTCTTCCAGGATTGCCACCATCCGAATGCCACCCTCACCCCTGGTTTTGCCCCCACCCCTCAGGTTTCACCCGCAACTCAAGCAGTGTGTCACCACACGGGTACGTGCCGAGCACCACTCCCCAGCAGACCAACTATAACTCCGTCACCACGAGCATGAATGGATACGGCTCTGCCGCCATGTCCAATTTGGGCGGCTCCCCCACCTTCCTCAACGGCTCAGCTGCCAACTCGCCCTATGCCAGTAAGTAGAGATGTGTGTCCCGTGTTCATGTTTCGCTAGAAGAACTTGGCATCGTGCCATGTGGCCCAGTGGGCAGGGCTTCTCAGTCTGAGGGCCCCTATCTTTCCATCCTGCAAGGCACCATCTCCAGCAGGAATCTCCGTTCTCCAGTGCTCACCTTCCTTCCTACAAAGTCTCCCTAACAGTCAGAATGTTGCTACCATCCAAAGCAGCTGTATGAGGTCGCTTCAGGAACCCACGCTCCGAGTCAGGTGAAGATGGGTTGACTCCCACTTCTACCAGTTACTAACTCCCACTTTTACCAGTTACCATCAGCTACTCAGGAAACTGAGGCAGGAGGTTTGCTTGAGCCCAGGAGTTCAAGGTTACAGTGAGCCATGATTGTGCCACTGCACTCCAGTGCCTGGGTGACAGCAAGACCCTGTCTCAGAGAAAAAAACAAACCAAAAAAACCCTATAAACAATGAGGACACCATATTTGTCATCTACGTAAGCCCAAAACATCTATTAGTTTTGTCTTACTTCATCTGATTATTTTAGCTACATAAAAGGAGGCAAGTTCATTTCCTCTCCAAGCCTCAATTTTCTCATCTGTAAAATGGAGAAGGAACTAGCACCGACCCCATCCAGTGTTGTAAGACATAGATAATGCATACAGTGAGCTTGTCCTGATTCCTGATACATGGAGGCACATTTAGTAAATCTAATAATCATAATAATGCAAAGATAATAACACGTGGTGGTGGTGGTATAACATAGTAACAATAGTCTAAAACTTAACCTCTCTCCCTTCAGTTATATGACTCCTTTATTTTTTAATGCTTGGAGTTTTCCCCTTCGTTTGCATTTGGTGTATACTTAAAACAACAACACATTAAAACACTTTTTTCCAGAAATCTGGAAAGATTAAAAAAAAAGAAAAGAAAAAGAAAACCACATACACATACAAAAAATATTCTTTGGTGCCTTGTCCCTGCCTTAAAGAAGTTTGCCTACAAAAAAATGTTGGTACGTTTATATGCTTCTAAAGAACCTCAGAGAACTGCCCTCCTTATCTATAAAGTGTCATAACCCATGTCCTTACAATCTCTTGATCTCTCTCTGACTTTGAAGTTCATCTTGGGCATTGCGAGTGACTCTTCTGATGTGCAAAATGTGGCCAAACTCTTAGATATTTGTAGAAGGACAGATAGATGTGCCATTAAATAAAAGAATATTCATGATTTCTTACGGAGTCTTGGCTAAAAATACTACAAATGATGCCCTCTCTCACAGTGAAAATATGGATTGTTCTAGTGCTTTGAAAGAGGAAAGATCATTCTTGCCCTTTAAGAGAAGTTATTTCTGAAAATGTACTTACAGACTTTTACTGTCTGGGTGAATTTTTCTGCTCAAAGTCCACAAAATTACACATTTCTACTTAGTTTGGAATCAGCAGTTTGTTGAACATTTACAACTCCTCAAATAATTTGCATATGTTATGTCTGTCTACTCACGAGTCAATGTTTAGGATCAGTTTCACATTAGATTTTGATTTATCAAAAGATTGTTTCTCATAGAGATCTATCATTTCAGTGTTCTCCCATTTATTCAATCAGAAAATGTTTTGATCATGACCTGAAAATTAAAAGGTGGCATTCTTAATTAAATCAATAAACTAATTGCTATATGGTAGCAATTCAATTTAGGGGCTTGGATTGCTCTCCTCAAGCCTGTGCAGACACTCAGCCGCTTCAGCCTGAGATTGCATCTGTCAGACTGTGAAACTTTGAACATTTAATTTCCATTAATTGATTTTCTCAGTGCTCACAAATATAGTATTAAATTCTCAAATAGGCTCTCAGATGGGATGGTTTTATCTGCACAAATGCAAATAAAACAATAAACACAAAGCCCAGCTGATTTGAATTTTTGCCTCTGTAATATTTAATTATTCATAAAGCACTCATGTTGAAAAATTCCAATGGAATAAAAAAATAAGACATTTCACTGGTGAACACACTTTCTGGTGTGGTGGCTGATAACTAATAATGTTATAACAAATGGAGCTGCTTGACTATATTTTACCCCTTCCTCTGTTAACTGCACCTCCCCCTCCCCGCCCCAAAACTCCCCACCTCTAAATACACATAATGATCGCATTTGCCAATGAGATTAATTGCCTTCCTCAGTGAACCAGCAGGATTTCAAGTCTACGAATATTTAAAAATCAAACCTCCAGTGCAGGAGTTTTGCAATTTAAATGGGTGTTATTATTGAGTGTATTTTCACATTTACAAATCCTAAGAGATGTATAAAAATGCTGGCCTCATTAAAAGAAAAAGTACAGTTTCGAAAATGTTTGTGAAAACTGAGGATGGCGGCTCTGCGTTCTGAGTGCGTGTGGATTGGGTAGTGCCTCAGGCTGATTAGAAGGGGTCATTTTCCCCTGATGGCAACTGTTGCCTATGACCAATTGGATTCCCACTTTCCAAAGGATAAGGCCACCCAAACAGCTCTTTGGACCCTGGTGGGCTTGTGGGAACGAGGCTTTTCCCCCTGGAGATCTTTTTCCTTTGCAGGGTAGTTTAGCAGAAAGAGCTCTGAATTTGGCCGTGATTCCTTGCTTCAGCGCATTCTAGCTATGGCCCTTGGGCTAGCTGCTACACTACTTTGTGAGTCCCAGCTTGCTTCACTTCCTCGGTTGTAAAAAAAAAAAAAAAAAAAAAAAAGTATGTGATGGGCCCCGACTTAAGATTGCATTGCCCATGACAAGATGAAAAAGACGTGAAGATTCTTGTGAATGATAAAACAATATCTGATGTTTTATTAAGTTGTGTGAAAAAATAATAAAATAGAAGAAATATCTAGGATACATACTTTCCTGCAGGAAATGGAGGAAATAGAAAGTGAGTGTATGAAAATATTAGTCTTGACTTAGCGTATGTGAAATCTCTGTCTCCTAAAGTAACCCAGAGATTATTAGCCTGGAGCAAAAGATGAGAGGCCAGGCCAAGAGGATCCTGGTCGGTAGAGAATGTACATCTACCAAGCTCTTTCATATCCCCAAACTGCTGGGTTTTCTCTGAGTTGCCAGAGTTCTCCCATCATTGGTTATCTGCATCCCTACTACTACCAAACTGTGAGTATTTATGTAAGGCTCTGATCCTACTGCTTATTAATTCCCAAACATTCACATATATCCCATGGCAGATATAAAGAATTTGGAACTTTTCTTCATTTTTCACAAATGCTGCATGTGGCAGTCTGGTGGCCATCCTCTCAAGCTGGCCTATTCCTGTTCCCCCTACCCCAGCCCCTTTCCTAGAACCTTAGTTTAGGCTCTACCTGGGATGCATCCCTTGACACCTCTTCTATGAAGTCTTCTCTGATTTCCCTTCCCTGCCTCCACTGAGATGGCTACGTTCACCTTTGTCACTGTTTTGTGCTACTCTCACCCTCATAACAGGGTGTTGCACTTTTGTTTCCTGGCCTGGAATACTCTAAGGATGGTGGCTCTGTGTTCTGCCCCATAAAGGCACTTGGTGCATTTGGATTGGTTAGTGCCTTGGGCTGATGACCAGGGGTCATTTTCCCTTAGTGGCAATTGCTGCTGATGACCCAGTGCCTAGCACACTGCCTGGCATACAGTGGCCCCACAATAAACACATAGAAGATCCCCAGTAATGAAAGGTAGCACATGCTAAGTTCTGTATAGCGAAAGTAGACAAGAGCCTGCGAATTCAGGGAAAGTTTGTGCTGGAAGCATTGTCTGAGCAGGACAGAGCAAGGTGGCTGGGTGAGGGATGGATCTGAGCTTCTTTGCTTCAGGATGCCATGAGAGGCACTGATTTCTCCTTTCTCATTGACCCTCTCAGTAGTGCCATCCAGCCCCACCATGGCCTCCTCCACAAGTCTCCCCTCCAACTGCAGCAGCTCCTCGGGCATCTTCTCCTTTTCACCAGCCAACATGGTCTCAGCCGTGAAACAGAAGAGTGCTTTTGCACCAGTCGTCAGACCCCAGACCTCCCCACCTCCCACCTGCACCAGCACCAACGGGAACAGCCTGCAAGGTAAGCCCCAGGCCCCACCTGCCAATCCAGATCCAGTGCCCTAACTTCACCCTCCCAGGGCCTGAAGCAGATGCATCACCATTGCCGAGGGAATCAGCCTTGGACCCTGCCTGATTCTCTCTGCCCTCATCTCTTCTGTTCCTTTGTGTTTGCTCTCCTCAGCCCTGGCCCTTGGCCATACTCATCTCTCCTCTGCTGGAGGTGCTCAAGAAGTCCTCTTTCCAACTTCAGCAATTCAGCTCAGGCCCGGGATTTGCTTGGGAATACTGTTTCTACTGACTAACAGCATCATTTCTCTTTTCTCCTCTTTCACTCCCTGTGGTCGCCATTATCAGATCAGTCTTTTGTGGACTCTAGCAAGTTCTCCAGTGCAGGGTCTCTCCCGGGACTGGCCTTCTCCTGAAGTAGGTCACTCAACCTTCCCTTCCTGTTGCCTGTGTCAGAGTGAACGTGTGCGGGGCTGATAACAGGGAGGGGGTGAGCCATAACTTGATCAGAGCCCTGAAGTTAGAGCATCATAAACCAAAGGTCAAAGACTTCCTACTGGGATTAAGAAACCCCAGAATACCACTAGAGTATTCTGGTTCATACTAAAATTGTTCAATCACTTTCCCACCATTGCATATGGAAAATAAAATAGTTGCTAAGAGTTGAGATGGCCTTTTCATTCATTAAGAATAAAAAGTTACCCACCTTTTAAAACTGAGCACACCATTTCTAACATTTTTCTTATGAGCTCAGCACTGTGTTGTGTGTCATATGTTGAGACCTGCACAACCCCATTCATTGCCCCCAGCAGGATTGTGTGGTAGGTACTCATATCTCCTACTTGACAGATGAGAAAACTAAAGGTTAGAGAGGTCACGAAATTGCCTGACTTTTAACAGCTGATACATGGCAGAAGCTGGCTTCAAACTCAGACTCAAACATTCATCTCCTAAATACTTTTTTACTCAGTGGTGGTAAAAGAGACATAGTTAGGATTCCTAAGGCAGCTGGTAGGGAGATAAGATTAATAAACTCGTCGACCACCATTTATTGAGCACTGAACAGTGTATCTGGAGCCATCCTATGCACGGAGCAGATTTTATACCATTTAATCCTCACATCTTCCTAAAGTATGAGAGCTATTATGGTCTTCATTGTGCAGATGACAAAATGGAAGCTTAAAGAGGGTAAATATCTGACCACAGACATAGTCGGTTAAACGGTGGAGATGAATGTAAGTCCCATCAGAGTCTGTGCCCTTAAGCCCAGCCATACAAAGGTTCCCACAGTGCCTTCCCTTGGTGGCCAGCACCTCACTGATGGAGGTCAGCCTGGAAGTCAGGGAGGGGTGAGGACAGCAGTGCACATATCTGGGATGTCTCAGCCCTGTTTCTTATGTAAAAGTACATGCATATTTACACTTGTCTACACATACTGTGTGCTGGATGCTTTACACTGTGGGAAGCATATAGTGATTCTCCTGAAGACCCTATGATGTCAGCACTAGTCCCATTGTACAGATGGGAAACTTGAGGCTCAATTTGATCCAGGTCACATGGCTAGTAAATAGTACAGCTAAACTGGAACCCAAGCCATGTGACCCCAGAGCCTGAGCACCCGATCACATTGTCTTTCTGCCTCCAGAAGGACTCTTCAAAATACTCCCCAGAACCCTGCTTGCAAATCTTCCCAGCACAGCCAGACTCAGTGCCCCACAGAGCACGCTGCTTTTCCCCACTCTGACACACAGTGGCAAATCCATCTTCTTAGAGGAAAGAGGAAAAAAAAAAAAAAGCCTGCCTGTGCAACTACATTTCAGGCAATATTACTCATGATAGAAAATGCCCACCCCCACAAAGTAGAGCCACCCATTCCTGCAAATCTGATTCTCTTTCAGCTAAAAATAATGCTTTGTCACCCTCAGTACACCTCCAGCTGGCAAACTAGGGATATAATGCTTGAGCGAACATAACTTATAATAGGTTTAAATAATGATCATACATATGGAAAGCAGAAATTTACCATTCTTGAGCTGCCAATCTCAGCCCTTGCTAAACATAGATTTGACATCAGAACCAGATATGATGGGGTTTATAATCAGCAGTTGAGGGGAAGCACTAGAGAAGAACAGGCCCCCGCTATTGGAAGGTCAGTGGCTGTATCACAGGCCAACAGTGACAGAAGTGGGCAGCTCCCAGGAGGCCCGATGTCTTCTCATGCCCTGTGGTCCTAGGAGGAAGCAGGAAGTGGTTGGAAACAGGGGCTGGGCCCAGATCTTATGACTTCCTGGGTTTCAGGAGATCTGGTTATCACCTGAAAGCCAGGATCTGGATGAGGGTATGTGCGTGTTTAAGTAATGATGAAGTGGCTTCAGGACAGCGACTCAGACAAAGTTTGTACATTTGTTCTCCCAGGGATTTTCTAACCCACTTCTTACCCAATTACAGATCCCCAAAGTACAGAGACTGTCCCCATTTCTCTGAATAACCGCCGAGTCTGTGCCTCTCGGTCACCTTTCCTAACACAAGGCCACAGCGTGGGAGGTTTGAGGTCTGACTCAGGGACACACCTCTTGCTGGATTCACTGTTGTGGACGACATTGCCCTTTCCTTCTGATTGAACAAATGTCAAGGGGACTTTTCTGAATTTTCCCCTATCCCATGCCCTGACTATTGAGCATGATGAAACAACAATTATAAAAAGAATGGGCTGGGCGTGGTGGCTCACACCTGTAGTCTCAGTACTTTGGGAGGCGGAGGTGGGTGGATCACCTGAGGTCAGGTGTTTGAGACCAGCCTGGCCAACATGGCGAAACCTTGTCTCTACTAAAAATACAAAAATTAGCCGGGCCTGGTGGTGTGGCCTGTAGTCCCAGCTACTAGGGAGACTGAGGGAGGAGAATCGCTTGAACCTGGGACACAGGTTGCAGTGAGCCGAGATCACGCCACTGCACTCCAGAGCAAGACTCTATTTAAAAAAAAAAAGAAAAGAAAAGAAAGAAAAGAAAAAGAAAAAAAAATGGGGTGGGTGGGGGAGGGTAAGGGAGGGAGGAAAGCTGATTTTTCATGGTGAGAAAAAAAAAAACATATTTACAGTATGTTTTGCTCATACTGTCGTATACCAAATATTCCTACTTTTGATATGTCAGTGACAGACATACGAATGGTTAAATTAATGTAAACATCTCACTTTAAGCTCTTCTTTCTGCCCACTGTGACCCCAGGTGCTGGGCTGGCAGGTGGGGCTCACACTCTGGGACTTGCCTCTTTACCCTCTGCACACAATCTCCAGCAGGGCAAAGAGGACCCAGTCTTAGATGAACAGCACCAGTTTTTCAGGGCACTCTTGCTTGCGCCACAGAAGTTTTCCCTGAGAATGGTGACATTCAGAGAATTACTTCATCTTTAACTTTCCAAACTCTATTTCTACCAGGAAAAAGAATGGATGTAGGCAGGTTATGGAATCGGTGTAAGGATCCCTGAAGTGTTTTATTCCACCTTTTTCCTTTTCAATGTTACAGTAACACCTACTTCATTGGGACCCACCTAGTTCAGAATTGTGATCATTAAGACAGGGCAAGTGACTAGGAAGTCTTGGTTAAGCAAATTGCCCATGTAAACAAGATTAGAGGTGCCATGTTTAGGCCATTTAAATGTTTTCAAGGCCTATTTACCTCCAACTGCCACTCTGTTAATTGTACATGGTTCTTTTTTTTTAAAGCCGACTCCTAAAAGACCTCTTCCCCATCAGTGCTCCCTTAGTCTCCTGTGGTTACTACATGCATGTTTATTCCCCAAGAACTAAGCACTGCAATGTCACATGGTGGTGATAATGGTGAACACAGCCACCGACTAGGAGGGCTTATTCCCAGCCTGGCTCCCAACCACCCTTAAGGTAGCCTGTCTATTGTCCCTCTTATACAGATGTGGAAACTGAGACTGAAGCTAAGTTGGCTTGTCCCCATTTACACAACTAGCAAACAAGGAAGCCTGGGATTTAAGCCCAGACAGATTGACTGGACTATGTTAAGCCACTATGCTATATTACGTTTCTATATTCAAGCCACTAGGTTAGGCCCATAAGGGCTACAAAATTCTGCCCATAAAATCTTTCCCTGTATTAGGGGAGACATGGCACCAAAGTAAATAAGGAAGATCTGTCTGGGAGAGGCTGGGCACCCAGCTGTGGAAGTACAGAGGAAGGAAAGATGAAGGAGAATTCAGAACAGGTTGCCTCCATGAGGAGCAAGTGGGATTCAGGCCCAGGGAGATGGGGGCAAGGAGCACTTTCAGCAGAAGGACTGAAGACAACCTTAGCCAAGAAGCAGAGGCAGACGTGTCCTGGATAACGTGTGGTGTGAACAGTAGGATTCACAGATTCTATCATGATTCCAGCTGGCTTTCTTTCCCAGGTAGATAAAACGTTTGAAAAAGTTACCATATATCTGAGTTGTGGGTTTTTTTTGTTTTTTTTGTTTTTTGTTTTTTTTTGTTTTTGTTTTTGTTTTTAAAGCAACTCTAGTGTCGACTTCTGGAGACTCACAAAATGTCCTGTTAAAAAATAAAAATATGGTAGTCAAAACAATTTGGAATGTGGTGCTCCCTGGATCACTATCTTGGACATCCACAATTAAAGTCTCTGGGGCATCCTGCAGTTAAATAAAAATGACTATGTCATTTAGTTTGCCAAACTTATTTTGACATACAGAGTCCTCTTCTGCATGTTAAGAACACTTAATGTCATATGAAAAACTTTGGAAAATGCAACTATATTTTAGATTTAAAAAGAAAAATGCAGAGATACCTCTTTCTGCTCTTATGCAGGTGAAGCAATTGGTAAATCCTGGTCCCAGACTACCTAACTGTGTGTGTTTTCCAGAGCCAAAGACTTGAGTCACCAACTATGCTCAGTCTTTGTCCATGGAGATGTCCTGTTCCCTTCTCCTGAAGCTTATGCTGCTTAGAGCTTGGGTTTCAGGCAATTGAGGCCTCAAAGGACTTCATTATTCAAGAGAGAGGCATCCCCAAGAAGGCTGTCCCATGCCATTGGAACCCCCGCTGATGTAATGATTCCAAACCCTAGCCATGTCCTGGATAGTCTATGCATGAAAAATTAACAAAAAGGCCAGAGTAATTTCACAAAAATAGTATCCATATACTGATGTTTTTCTTTTCCACTTTGCTGAAGCTCAGGTTGGCTCTTCTCAACCCTAGATATCATGCAGCCCAGGACCAAATCCTATGGAATTGTCATTTTTTCCATGCACATATTCAGTCGGTGCAAGATTTACCCACTCACTTACCCCGCTGTTCCTGATTAGCTCATAATTTTTTTTTTTTGAGACGGAGTCTCCCTCTGTAGCCCAGGCTGGAGTGCGGTGGCACGATCTCGGCTCACTGCAAGCTCCGCCTACCAGGTTCATGCCATTCTCCTGCCTCAGCCTCCCGAGTGATTAGCTCATAATTCTTACACATGTGGTGGTTTGGGGAAGACCACATTCCACCCTCTCCAAACCCTCCCAGCTCTGCAGAACTTTGTTTTGTCTTTGTTTTTTATCAAAAATGTAGAAACAGTAATGAAAAATGCATTGCCTCTCAAAGCAATAGTTTTCCGAGCTTCCGTCAGAGAACATGATCATCCAGCTGCTGGGGAAAATGGCAGAGCCACCATGGTCTTGTGATGTCCTGGCACATGGTGTTGAGAGGGTGGTGTCCTCATGGGAATCTTTATGCACTCCGCTTGGGCAAGTAAGCATGCCAACGGCATTTCTGGAACATTCCAAGCTCCAGACACCCATCCCTCTCACCCACATAATGAATCTTCAAATTGCAGCACAGATATAAGAAAAACAACTCCTAAAACTCAAGATCTTCAGGCAGTTGTGCAGTGAGTTTCTCTATTAAAAGGGCCTCTTTGGCAGTATCTAGGCTTAGAAGCCACAGGCAGGGACCTTTTCCCATAATTTACTCAACAGCAAGGGTTCTGCCCTTGGAGTTTAGAAAGTCATGATTGGGATTCAGAGAACCGTAACGCTTTGATGTTACATGCAAAATTCTGGGTGTGGACAACATTGGTCTGAGAATGTTCCAGAAATGCTGTGGCATGCTGTCTTGCTCAAGTGAGGTACATGAAAATTCCTCATGAGGACACTTAGCACCTTGTACTAAGACATCACAACTTCTTTTGAAGAGAGTTTCCATAGCTCCCATCAGATGCTCAGAGAAGTCTGTGGGCCGATGAAAGTGAAGTAGGAAAGTAGGAGAGGGCCAAACCCACCCACTAGACCCATATATCATTAATTTCAATTTTTTGCTATCATGTATAAACTTGACTATTTCATTTAAAAAAAAAAAACAAAAAACAAAAAACAAATTCTACATCTCCAGCTTCTCTTGAAACGGTTGAGAGTATCAGTGGCTGCGAGCAGGCATTCCTGCCCAGTGGCATTTGGTGGGAGCTGAGTCACTGCCCAGGCATGCCCTTGGCATCATCACCTCCATCCTCACTTCCCCACCCAGGGGATTCGCTCACTCCTGTTCGCAGCCTGGGCTCTTGGGGTGCTGGAGTTTGCAGCCCCAGTAGTCCAAAATAAAAAGTGCTGTTAGCTATGAACTGGCACATCAGTTAGCTTTGCTTTAGAACTTTTAATGTGGCCCTAAGTGGAGGCTTAATCTAGTTGATCTAACACTTATTTGGGTACCAAAAGACTGCTTCGATTTTTTTTTTTTTTTTAATTCTGGTCATTCAAATGGGATGTTTTCACAGTCCAGCTGATAAATGTTGGCTGGACCCACCAACCAAATTAGCTTTTTCCTTTGCTTTGAATCATATTGATACTGCCTGAGTTGTGTGACTATACTATAGGGAACTGCTCTTCAATGCCAGGCATGCAGAATAGATTTTGGTGGAAAGCAAATGTAGACTTGCACCTTTTGCTACAGGCTTAAAACTCCTGCTGCCTTTAGTAAAGTTGCCTGGACCTACCTGCAGCCCGGATGAAAAGATCCCTGGGGAGGCAGAGCCATGCTGGGCTGTCACACAGCAAAGATCCCCCCTTGCGCCTCCTTGTCTTTGGAGCGATAGCATCTCGAATTCTCCAGTTAAGGCTTGGATTGAAATACTGAGCTCCTGGTTTCAGTCAAACCTAGGGCTCACTTGAATCTTAGGGGGACTGCATTTCCAACTGATCCCAAGTCTTCGGGGGTTTAAGTTGGTCGGCATTTGGCAAAAGACAACTTCCTGTTTCTAAGAAAAAAAGGCTTATGAGGGCTTACGGAAAGGACTCCAGGAGCTTTTGGGCTGCAAAACGGCTCTTGCAAAACAACATTTGGATGATTTACGTGTAAATGAATCAGAAACATGTGGATTGAATTTCCTTGTGAATACAGATGGGTTTAAAAATTAACGGAAAAAGTGTTTGGCAAAATACTTTTTGGTTTTTGTTTTAATTGAATCTAAAATGCCAGGGGTGGGGGTAGGGAAGCCGGAGGAACGTGGGGGTCTCAGGGCTAAGAGCCCCGGGTGGCCTCCCTGTATCCACTTGCAGGATTTGTGGTACTGGGATTCGTGGGGTTTTGTTTTGTTTTGTTTTTTGTTTTTAAAAGGCACATTCTTCCAGACATGATCATTAGTAAACGAAGAGGGCCACTTCCTAGACGCAGTCATCACTGAAAACAACATTAATTTACATTTAGATTTGCCATAAAAAGAAAACAATGACTCTGCCTGACAAGACACTCAACCGTCATTGGGACGCCTGCCCCTTGCTTATAATGGCAGCATCTCTCTCACCTTGACATGTTTCAAAGTTGCCACCCTGTTTTAATTTTCTTACAGTTATCCTTTTATTCTTCCCACCAATCACACAAAGTGTGCCACATGGGATGGTGCCTATTTGATATAAGAGCACATACAGCCCAGAGAAGTTAAGCAATTAACACAGGGTCACACAGCTAGTTTAGCAGCAGAAGTGGTGGGTTAAAAATCCCAGCAGCTAACCTCTACCAGGTCCTCACTAGGAGCTGAACCCAGGCTAAGCACTTTGCATATATCATTTTATTCACCTCTCCAATAACCCTAAGTGTTGCTGTGATTCTAGCTACAGAAGCTGAGCTTCATAGCAGAAAAACCAGAGGTGGGACTCAGGCCTATCTGATTCTGTGTTCTCTAAATACCACCATCTGCGACCTCCTAGCTCTGAACACTTTCAACAATTTTTGGTTACCTCAAACAGCCTTTTTTTTTTCCCCAGGATCTCATTCCAGCTTTCCCAGGCTACAATTTTCTAGGAAATATGGTCAGATCATTCCCAAAACGTTGAGTGAAGCCGTGATATGGAAGACATTCTGTAGTTTCATGCAAACCTGTCTTCTCCTCCCAGCTATGCTTTCTCCCAACTTTATATTCCCAGTGAACAAGGCCTGCTGTCGCTGGCATTTCCTTCTCCCAGCTCAAGGACCTAAGCAAAGGCATTCAAGATTTCTGCTTTGTGGCTCAGTTTTTGTGCTAATACAGAGGACAGGGAGAGCCATATTTTTTGTAGAAATTGCATGCAGTTCGGATGGACCACTTCTTTCTATTTTGGATGTGAAGGGGAGGGAAAAAAGAATGACAAACTGAAAATTCTCACTACTTTGCAAGGTTCGAAGCTGCAACTTTCGCAGTGGTATTCAAACTATGCAACTTTCCAGTTATGCCTTAAAATTGAAATCAGATTTGGAGGGATGTTTAGGATATTTTGTTCTTTTAAAGACACATGCCCATGCTGATTTATTGTAATTTTTAATAAAGCACACGTATATTTTATAACGAAAACTCATTCCAGAGAAGATCAGAGCAAATTTGTGGTTAATATTTAAACAACATAGTTGTGTGTGGGGTTTTTTTTTTTTTTTTAATCTTTATTACTTTTCTCAGTGAGAAGTTTGGATGCAAAAAAAAAAAAAAACCATTGACTTCTGTCTTCTCTTTCCATAGCGATATCTGGCATGATTGTTCCTCCTATGTGAAAGAATTGCCTTGAAGAATTGTATTAATGAAGAGGTTGGATTCTGCTACAGAGAGTAATCTGATACAAGTCCCAGAGTGGAACTTTTAACTCAGGCCTTTTTAAGAGGAATCACAATAACTGCAGATTTTTAAACAAAATCACCGACCTTGCAAATACTGAAATTGGAAGAGGGATCTGCAAGTGCAGAGTGTTGGTTAAAGTTGTACCTCCCAAGTATTTGGGGGATATATTTATTCTGTATTGACAAAAGCAAATCCACTTTTTCTCTTTTTTTTTTTTTAAGCTTAATTCTGCAATCATTTGTCTTTTATAAACCGTAAAGCTGTATACAAGGGACACTATAAATAAGACTTCATGTTTTAATTTATGATGTTTTTAAAGCTGTGTAAAGGAAGAATGAAGTGGTGATATTTACAAAAAAGTAAAAAAAAGAAAAGAAAAAAAAAAAAAGCTTGTATGGGACAGAATAGGAATGCCAGTTAGATTTTTTAGAAAAACTAAGGGTCGGCTTTTGCGCCTTAAAGCATATCAAATGGTAGTTAGCTCAGACAGTGCATTTTCAATATCTAACTTAACATGCCACCCCTTAGCAGTGCAAGCTTATTTCTCTCTTTTGTATTGTTGTCTTAATTAACTGTGTAAATAAATGCAGCCTGGAAAGTTAAAACACGATGTAAGTGATCACATTTTTCCCTCTACTCGAAAATCCAGTGCCTCTAGACAGATTGTTAAAACTGCATATTTAAATCTGATCTCATTCTCTCCTTTTACTTAAGTCAGTTTCTTCTGAAGCCGATGGCCTCTCGAGAGCTTGGTGGCACACATACTGTGTGAGAATCTCCTTTGAGACTTCATGGAACAGGGTCCAGGCACAGAATTCCACACTCTGCCCTCCAGTTAACAAGCCAAAACCTCACGTACACTCCCCCATTTGCAAGTTTAAAGTTTACTCGTCCTAAATGCCGACTTCATACCTATCTTCCAAAAGTTGACAAAAGCAACGTGGCAGGTATTTCGATTTTCCCATTCAAGATACTGCCTCTATCAGTCGACCCTTACCATTTGTAAAATAATAGATTAAAACAACAGGTTAAGTGCTTTGGAATTAAGAGTTAAAGGGAACGGGGAAAGGAAAGGAAGGTTGAGACCTCCAAAACATAGTTTTCTGTTCTATGGGAATTTTTGCTCTCGTTATCTGGGAAGTGTTCTTAAAAATAACAATTAATAGCAAAGATGCAGCAAAGCTCTGAGGATGCATTTGCCTGATATTTTTTTCTTTGCTCTTGTGTTTTTGTATGTAGTTATAAATACTGTAGATTTTTTTTTGTGATTTTTTTTTTGCCAAAGTTGTTGTTCTATTTATACATTTTAATGTCTTAAGACATTTTTTTCAATATCACAAAAAGATTTTACTGCATATTTTGCAAAGAAAAAAAAAGCTCACTACCTTTAGCTTGCACATACTTGCAAAGTTAATTAAAAGGCTTTTTGTTTTAAAGGGGATTTTGTAAAATATCCATATAAATAATGTATTTATCTTTCGAATTTGTACATTGCTTTTCCCTTCTTCCTCTTCCTCCCACCCCCAATTTATTTTATTGTGTATGTTTGCTATGTGAAAAGTGCGTATTTGTTTGGTCACCTACACTTGTATTAGCTGTTTCAATGTGATTTTTAAACATTTCATTTATAGTTATTTTTAGTATTGTTATAAACCATGCTTCAGTTTTTTTAAATTTCCACCCAAAAGTCATTGTCTATTTTTGTATTATTTGTAAGTTAAGAAGTTTTTTCCAATATATGGCAAAAAAAAAAGTAGCATATTATTCTTGTAGTATTTAGTTCAGTAGATTTAAAAAAAAAATGTATCCTTTGCTTTGGAAGCTTACAAAACAACCCTAATGCTGTTTTACTCTATTAATATGCATGGAATATCTCCCTTTGGAGTGACGCATTTTGTGCATTAAATTCTAGGGAGAAACTTCATAGAAATCAATGAACATACTTTCGTTCTTAAGTCTGCTTGTATATTTCCTCTGTCTTTCACATAAATATAAACCAGCAGATTGGATGCCTTAACAATGCAAATCATATTCATTTCACTTGTACATTGTAACTGTGCACCAGAACTGTCAGTCATCACGAACATTCTAAGAAAAAAGAAAAAGAAAAAAAGAAAAAAAAAAAAACAAATCGAAAAGCACAAAAGAACTGTTTTTGTTACCTTAAGACAATGTAACTTTTTCTAGTAGAGCAAGAAATCATTTACAACAATGCTGCAACTGTGCATGCCCCCATATGGATTTTGCAATGGTTTTCACTAGACTGTCAGAGTGCGATTTTTATGGGTTGGGGTGGGTGGGGGAGGGGAGTTGTGGGAGGGTAAGGGAGGGAGGAAAGCTGATTTTTCATGGTGAGAAATAATAATGATGACTAATAATAATTAAAAAACTGGAAAACGTAAGCAAGGTGGACGCATTGCTTCTCGGTACTCAGAAAGGTTATCTGAATTTGCGTAGTAAGCGCTGGCCTGAAGATGTACACAAGTTAAAGCCATATTTTGTCTGGTGAGCCCCTTAGCTGTTTCTGAAGGAATGAACGGTCAGTCGGGAAGGTGTCCGGCTTAGACCTTGACAACAGACGCTACCCATCTGTCAGCCATGTGAAGTGGTTAGAACTCTTCTTGAAAGTCCAAAGAGCCTTTAAAATGTGTATAATTTGTGTTTTGTTGCTTCTATTTCTATTGATTAGATGAAAAGACATTCTGGCCCTCTGATCCTCTTTCTTCTCCAGAAAAGTTTCACAAATAAAAGATGTTCCCCTAAATACAGAATATGGCTTTAAGAAGAAAATGAAATGAAGAATTAAATTAAGATTTCAGTGTTGGGGGAAAAATACAGCTTCTGGATGACTGGATTGCATAACATTGCCCTGGCCTCACATTGTACTAGGATGCAGCTTAAATGAAGTCATCTCTAAATCTACTAACCTTTCACCTTCTTATCAAAAGTTTTTGAATAGACACACACTGTACAGTTCAATTGTTAGAGAACCTAACTACTGTAGAGATTGTTATAATTTTTTTTTTTTTTTTTGCAAAAATTCAAGCTGTAAAAACTTTTCAACTTTCACAATATTTAATTAAAGTTACTTCCTGTCTGTGATGGCAGCTCCTAGTTGTGTATTCATTTCTCTATTTCAGATGAGCCAAAGTCCAACATAATATAAAAGGTCTGTGTTTGCAATGACTCAGATCAGTCTTGACACCCAGTGAAAAGGAATTAGGGTAGTCCTGGGACACCCTCTTTCTTATGTAGGTCCTTGGGGATTTGCTAATCTGGGATGCAAATTAAACACGCGCAGCGTACTGCTGCCCTCTGCCGGCGGTAGCTGGACGTGCACATGCCCGCACTGGTCCACAAAGGAGCCAAGAGCCCCCAACTTCAGCAGCCAAGCACTGAGATCCTCCTGCGTGATTGAATTGTGAATCCAGGAAGCGGCCATTCTAGAACCCCTATCCTTCGTGCTACAAGTCTGAACCAAGCTTTTCACACACAGTGCTAATTAATCCCAGCAAGTCTTCTGGTCAACTAATTATGTGCCCTGGCTCATTGAGGAGGAGGCATGTGTGAACTGAGCCTTCTGTGATCAATATTTTTTAACCCCACATGAATAAGGTACTTCTCCTATTGGACAGGAGTGAAACATTCCACAAATACCAGATAGGTACATACTCATGTAAAATTGTTTCACTTTGAATTCCATCATAATCATGAATCTCTTTAAATGCACACTCAATGATTTTCCTACTTTTACAGTTTTTGAACATGATGAGGTTAATGATACTTGTAAAATGCCTCAAAAACTCAGCAAATAGGCTGTAGACCAACAGAAACTTGATGGCCAGAGCTGATAGGATGGCAGCAACACAGTCAAGTGTGGTGAGCACTGTTTCGGCTTTGGAATAAAGCCCGATTTGAGTAATGAAAGAGTGTGATATATAAGTTAGAGAAGCTGCCATCATTTTTAAAGAAACAGAATTCTTGCTGAAAAGTTTGGCCATTCAATATATGTTTCTTTTGAATTCTGTGTTTGATATAGTTTCCTATATTAGATGCAGAAGATAAAGATTGAAGAGGCCCCTCTCCTCAGGATGCACACCATCTCAGAAAACACACACTTAATATTCGAATTGTGCTAGAATGGTTGGCCAGGCTGTGACAGGTGTGCCACAATGCTCCACAGAGCACAGCTGACGTCCATACCTCTGACACGCTGGCCTCTACGATCTTTAGGGGCTACCTCTTGGAAGTGCTCATTCACTCGATCGTTCATGTATTCACTCATGCCTGTAAACTTTGTGTGTTCCTATGCCTCTGGTACTAGGCAAGACATGGTGGATACATCAGTGGGCCACGGTGATGTTATACCCACCTGGAGCTCATACTTGAGTGGGGCAAATGAACGTTAAGCAACCACTCAAATACCTGTAACAAACTAATAATGGTAATGAAGAAAGTGTCTAGAATGCTCTGAAGGTACATTGCAGCAGGATCTGATTTAACCTGAAGTGCTGGGAAAGGCTCCTAGAGAAAGTGACATTTGAGCTGAGGTATATAAGCTCAGCAGGAGCTAACCTGGTGGGCCTGGCACCTTAGGCAGAGGAAAGGAGGGAGGCGTAAGAACACTGAGCTTTGGGGCACATAAGGTACATTTAGGAACAAAAAGACTATGTGAGTGGAGTGTGCGGATGTACACAATGAGACTTGTGGGGCTTGGGAGTTCAATTCAGAACATGTCCTGAGCATCTACCATGTGCTTGATACTGTACTAGCTACCAGGTACACTAAGCAAACGGGCCATAGTTCCTGCCTGTAGGGCCTCTGTTGAGGCTTACAAACTCACAGCCGCGTATTTGTTCATAGGGGCTACGCAAAAATGAGGGGGTGGGCCAGGCGCAGCGGCTCATGCCTGTAATCCACTTAGGGAGGCCGAGGCGGGTGGATCACGAGCTCAGAAGATCGAGACCATCCTGGCTAACATGGTAAAACCCGTCTTTACTAAAAATACAAAAAAAATTAGCTGGGCGTGGTGGCAGCCGCCTGTAGTCCCAGCTACTGGGGAGGCTGAGATAGGAGAATGGCGTGAACCCAGGAGGCGGAGCCTGCAGTGAGCCGAGACAGTGCCACTGCACTCCAGCCTGGGCGACAGAGTGAGACTCCATCTCAAAAAAAAACCAAAACCAAAACCAAACAAAACAAAACAAGGGAGTGAACTAGAGGTAAAAACAACTGGACAGTGGGAGGGCTGGGGCCACTGGCAAGTGCATGCTCTGTCCAAAGTGAGAATCCCACTTGCTCCAGGCGATTGCTCCCATGTGAGAATGTGGACGGACCCAGTGTTGCCCATCTTTCATTTCTCAAGAATGCCAGATATGTTACCAGATTATTTAAAAATTTGGCATAAAATTTTCATTTTTAAAATGTTGGCAACTTATCTAAAAACAGTGTTTTAAAAACACTGTCTTGCCCAAACAAAGTCCAGAATCCCCTAGGGTGTCAGTTTCAGACTTCTGACCAAAAGATACGTTACGAACAGTGATGTTCACACAGCCTGATTTGAGAGTCATAATGATGTGTCCTCTCCCTGAAGATCAAGGAAGACTGCAAAGAAGAGGATGCTCCAGTGGTGGTCTACAGGATAAGAGTTCTCCAAACATATAAGGGAAAGTAGGTCATGGCAGGTGCTGGTCAATGCCCTGGCAGCTGACTCTATGAGAAAAAAAATTATTACCATATATCCAAATAGGAATATGGAAAATTGGAATCGTGTGCTTGTGAAAAAAAATCCCGTCTTCTGCAGTAGCTGTATTCAATGTGCAAGTATAGGTCAGTTTTTAAAAACAACAACAACAACAACTCTGTTTGCCTTGCAGAAAGACCCTTATGAATGAATCCATTTTTAAGTATACTTCCATTGAAGTGGACCCTTTCCAACACACCATGCTCAGAGCCACACCTGCCCTAGCATGCTCCAAAATCACTCATGTCATCAAGAATTTTGGTCCCAAGATTATCTCCTCTCTCCAGAACCATTACATTCTCTTTCCTCAATGTTACATTCAGACCAGCTTACAAATGTGATCCCATTGAGGAAAAAAAGATTTGACCTCACTTGGCTTGTAAGCTAGCCACAGCCCTCCTGCTCCTGTTAATAGCAAATCTCAAAAGAGTTGTCTACGTCTGCTATCTTCTCTTCTTCATTTATACTTTCTCATTATTCATATTACAATATATGTTTATTGTAATGATGAAGAGTGGAGAGTCTTCCATGTTGTAAACAAGGGATCTCAATTTATATTTTAGAAGTATCGTCTTGGTTGCTACAAAAAGAACAAGTCGGAGGGAGACAGAGGGAAAATAGAGGACACTAGGAGGCCATTGCAGTTGTGCATGCAAGGAATGAACAGCTTGGAGTAGGAGAAGAAAAAGGAGGAAAATAGGATTAAAAAATATGTAGGCAATAGAACCATCAGGCTTTGGTGACTGATTCAATGTTGGGTTTGAGGGAGATGAAAAAGTCAAGATAAAGCTCAGTTTTGTGACTGCTGGTAAAGAAATGGTTGATGTCTCTGTTTGAGCTGTTTCCTTGCTCTGGCGCTCAATAAAGAAGTCCCTTCCTCGAATTGCCTTTGCTTCCCTTCCCTCTTCCAAATATAATCCTCTTCTCCAGAGGCTTCTGTATTTACATTAGGAATGAAATTCAGTTTCCGGAGCTGGAAACACTTTGTTACTTTTTTTTTTTTTTTTTTTAAACTTAAGCATCAAGCAGTTTTATCTCTTCTCTCTGGAGAGTTATGCTGCAGTGGGACTGATTTTTATCTACTTAGCATACATTTTTCCCACTGATTGTAGAATTTTCACATTCTATATTAAGAACAAACGTTCTGGGCCCTGGCATTAACCACAGGCCTGGTGGTTGGCCTTCTGTAGGAAATATCCTGCACTGGGAATTATCTTATAAGGAAAATTTAGTACTCCACAAAGACCCTGATGAAATGTCAACACAAAGGAAGGAGACCCATTGAGGGCGATTCATTCAATAACATTGATATGGATGGGATTCTGCCAGGAAAGCAAGGAGAAATGAATGAGAAACAGGCATTACCCATGGCCTTCTCCGAAGCATTTATTTACACTGTATCTCCTTACTGAACATCTTTGTGTCAAGTTCTGTGCTAAGGGCTGGGAATATGATTTATGTCTTAAATAGACCTATTTCCTTCATTGTTACGCCTAAGGAGGATAGAGACATGACTCAATCACACAAACATATAATTACATACTATGATAAAATGCTCTGTAACCCTAACATATCTGAGTGAGCATGTGACTCTATCTCTGCATAAAGTCGAGCCTAGCTCAACAGCCAAAATTAATTAAAAGGGAACCAAATTCCTTATTTAGACCCATCAAAAGTTCTTAAAGGAATCTAAATATAAAGCCCACAGTAATACCTAGTAAAGTGATCTTTCCTCTGTTATCTTTTCCCTCACTTCTCATCTTAGCCAGATACTACTTCCTCCAATCCATCTGACCAAAAAACCCCTGCTCTATTCCAAGTTTCTATGATTTTTCTTTCTGCCTTCTCCCTCTTCTTCCATCTCTCTTATTGTTTTATTTTTTACTGTAAGGGCAGAGAGAAAACTTCTCTTCCACCTTCTCTGAAGGTTCATTGAAATGACCGACCACAGACAGACAAATAGGAGAAAAGGCATACAAACTTAGTTACTTGCACAGGGACCCTGGAGCTCTGCAAATATGAGGCTCAAAGAAGGGCCAGATGGCTGTAGCTTAAATACCCTCTTCATAGGGGATAGGGAAATGAAGGACTATGGGTAATCTTATGAGGACAGTAAATAATTTTTAGGGAAAATGAATAGACTGGGGAGGCAGACATTATCTTGTAACTGATTGTCTTATAAAACTGCAATTTACTGGAAGGTGAGGGGCAAAACTGCATTGTGAACAAAGGTTGCCTTACTGTGCAGATAAGGTCTCCCAGATAATCTCTCTGAGCTGCCCTCAGAAGAGGAGATAAAGATCTGCCTGGGCATGGTGATGACTTTTAGCCTCTTCTCTTCTCTGGTGGTTAATCTTTCCTGGTTAT